CTATATTAGGGTCCCCTATTTTTGTAACCGTCATGTCACTCTCGGGTCCTCTAGAGGCTGGAACTCCAGGTGTTTCGGCCCAGGCGCCAAGCGCTCCACGATCTTTTGGGGATGGTGGATGGCCTTGAAAAGTGGGAGACAGTCTCACAGAACTACATGGGGACTACATGGGATATGAGTCGTGTTTATACATAGGGACGACTATATGAGACATTACCAGCAATTGGCCAGGGGGCAGGGCAGGGCAGGGCAGAACAGTGCAGGGCAGGGCAGGGCAGGGCAGGGCATGGGCATGGGCAGGGCAGGGCAGGGCAGCAGGGCAGGGCAGGGCAGGGCAGGGCAGGGCAGGGCATGCTCTGAGCATGGTCATGGCAGGTCATACCTGACCCGGAGGTAGCAGATTAACAGACTGCCCCTTTATTGGTAGGGTTTAGGGTTTGATCGTAGAGTTCCTCGGGCGCTTCAATGAAGAGGCTCTATCAACCAGTCATTTGCTAAGTGCAAAGGCCAGTCATTTGCAGAGTTGCCACAACCTTCAAGCGGCACGGTGCGGCAAAAAGCCCGTCATACAGGGGCGTGTCAAATAGGCTTGGGGCCTCATTCGTTCTAGATGAAATATATTCGGGAGGCTAGGAAATACTAGTACTAAACTTCAAGGCCCCTGTAATTGCGACTTCGAATGCATCACGCCAAGGTCTCGACTGGCTGCAAGTCAAACGCAGGATCCTGGCTGAAGTGAAACATGATTCAAAGGGGCCAATACCCTTCAATTGAGCAATCTCTGGTTTAGACCAGACCTTAAACGTCGCCTTAAACCATAACAATTCCAACAAATATTCCTCTTCTAAGGAGAACTCTAGCCCCTTGGTCTAGGGAGAACTCCGGTCGGCACGCCCAGCTTTCTGCAATCCCCACATCGGCCGGATTACGATGCTTTTGAAAGTGTTGCTTCCTGTTAAAAGAATACTTGTCCCGTCAGAAGCAACAGGCAGGTTCTCATAGCAAGTACAAGTGTCGTACTCCAGCATAGTTGGGCCAGTCTACATTCGCGACGAAAAGAAGCACAAGTCCCGAAAATTCGACCCCCTGGTGCACGGGCGGTCCATCTCTTTCATCGACTCCAGTGCCTCGTCCCAAGGGTTGCCTGGTAGGTTCCTACAAGGCACTCCATAAAGGCTCTAAACTACATCATGTAGCCAACATGGGATGTGAACTCTGGAGCTTCACTCTTCTCTTGAATCTGGGAGTTTGTGGGAGAGCAGGGTTTATTGGATGGGTTTTACCGCACAATGTTTCAGAAATAAGCCGTGCTGAGCATCGCCATCTCCATAGCTCAATGTCCTTCCTGTCAGAAATCTGATAGGTCACTCATCGCCAGGCTGTTGCGGAAGCAAGAAGTCGAGGATCTTCCCAGGCAACCCCTTCTGCACTTACTATTCCAGATGCGTTTAGCTGCAACTGCCATCGACTTTCGTCGGATGACAGAACCATGTGTCCCGAGTTTTGGAGATTACTGCAGCACATCAACATCGTTGTCATCATCGTTATCACCGCCGCCATCATTGCCAGCGAATCGTCACCGACACCATGACGGCCACCATCATCAGCATACGTTCTCTTTCGTAGCATGCCAGAAGCATTCGCCTGACCATCATAATAGCCAGCTGGTTATCACTAATACCATTCCTGCCAACACGATCAACATGAGCAATCCTTGTCGTCTTCCGAGAGAACCATCCTTGTGGAGCTTTGATCAACGGCGGCGATACACCCAAATCATCTTGTGATCATCATAGACTGTGAATCCTGACTAATGCGATGACGCCCAGACAGAGTCATCAACATCAGCAGAACGATTGCAGTGATGCTGCGCCATCTTCCTGACTATGTTCAAGTTGTCATCAGCATTGTTGTCACTATGAAGAACACTGCCAACATCGTCTGCAGGAGCAGATGTACTGGAGCTTCAGGAGGTAGCGTGACAAACAATCATACATAGAGCCAACATAATGAGATGCGTGATAGAAGGGCGCCGAAGAGGCCCCCTCAGCGTCCTGAACATCTTTAAAACACCAGTAGAAACTTTAAAGCACCAGTATATAACCTTCTCGGGAATATTACAACAGCCAAACCAAAAACATGCGTATCGTAGTTGATCAGCGAAACCCTGTGAAAGCCGTGGCCTTGGTCGTCCAACGCCTGCTCGATAAGCCGTCGCACTCTGGCTATGAACCACCACCTGTCGCAATCCCCAGGTGCGGTTAGGGCTTTGGGTTTGGGTTTACGGTTTCGGATTTAGGGTAGCTGCAGTTTAAAAGTGTTGGAAGCTTAAGGCGTTTCTTTGAACGCAGATCCTGGGGGCCACACCCGTGCTCCGCACAAGATGCAGCGATTGAACTTTGACATGTCGAGCTTAGGGCTCGGTTAGAATGTATCTTAAGCCCTAATGCCCTGCACCTATTTTTTCGTGTATGGCTTCGGTTAGGTTCGGATCTGGGGTTGTTGCGGCATCATGACATAGAAGTCCTTGCTCAAAGGGATCTTGGCAGGGATAGAGCCCGGAACAAAGACCGTATGCTGGTGCGGTGGCAGAACAGCTTGTGCGGGTTGCTCCATCTGCAAAACCGGTCGCCGAGGCACCCAGCGAGAATCAACCGGGCTACAATGACTGCGATAACTCGCCGTCTTGATGCCAATGTTACTATTGCGGTTGTTCATCTACTAGTTTCTGGTGATCGCCGGTAGTTGCTCTGTTGATTGCTGCCATCACATGTCTCTGCTTTGTGGTATGTCCCAGCGACACCCAAGCTCACCCGGCTCAAAGCATGCAATTTCAGACTAAACAGTACTGAATCTCAACAGTGCCTTCGTCCAAGCTCAGCAGCAGAGCTGCAAGGCCTAACGACCTACATGTCGGTGAACCGTGTCAATGTGTCTCTTGCACAGACCCCACGCACGCACACGCACACACGCAAACACAAAACGGGTTGCATCTGAGCGAGAACTGGCCATCCTCTTTGCTCTAGTCAAAGCCTCATATCACACGTATCTCCTGGCACGGGCACAGTTACGACTGATAGTGCATATTGATAACTTGTGGTAGCTCCGCCCTACAGGCACACATTCCCCCCTGGTCCTGAGCCTCAAGTCTTCTTCAACTCAACGATTTTTTGATTAGGTTGGAAATTGAGAATTTTTCCTTCTGCACTGGCCATGCCTAAACCCTGAACCCTAAACCCTTTGCAACGGCCTTGTCAGATCTCGACCGGACTGATAGCCCACAGCAAACCCTAAACCCTAAACCCAAAGCCTTCCAGGCGGATCCATCGGGTAGATCTCCAAAAGCTGCACGAAGCGAGGCACACTCAAGGCCTCAAGTCAAGGGCTTAGGGCTTAGGGCTTAGGGCTTAGGGCTTAGGGTTTAGGGTTTAGGGCACAATCACCAGGGTTCAGGATTGCTAACACCGCAAAACTGCAAAGTGAACAATTCTATATCCTGAAGCCCCCGAATAGCCCCACTAAAATTCTGGAGCTCAAAACTCTCAATTCCAAACATGTACAAAGATTTCCGGACACTTCACAATCCAACAAATGTGCCGCCCGCTGTGCGCCAGTCCTCCAAGTCAGTCGTGAGCCAAAAACCAAGTCTCGAGAAGGCCCGAACCTGAACCTTACCTTGAACTACCACAACCTACCTTTTTGTAGGTCCTCATTATAAACCCTAACATCGAATTTATAGGAACCCTACCAAGCAAGCAGGTTTTGGTAGTTTAAGGTAAGCCTTAAATGCCTTAACGCTTCTCTCTGGTTCAGCTGCGCCGCTGCTTGCGCGAGCTCCTCGGGATTCAGCACCTGCAGCAAGTAGCGCAGAGCCCTCGATGGGTCACCGGAATGGAGACGAGGCACAAGTGCCACCGGCGAGGCTTCAAGCTGGACCAGCGCTTACAGATCTACGTTAACCGCTCTTCATTCGACTCGCTGCAAAGATAACCACAGCACGGGCCTGCAACGCCTTGACGAAGTCCTCGATGCTGACAGGAATTGCAGCTTCAACCATACAATCAACAAGACGAATGGCCATGAGTTGTATTCTTTGCAACCAGTAGCAGATTACAAAACATCATCACCACACCATCAACATTGTCTTTCAAATGAGCAGCGAATCCTACGATCAGTACTCGACAACAGCAGGAAAGTCGAAAAGAGTTGCAGCTTGGAAACATCTGCCAACACAAAGGCCGGAGCATACACAGAAGCTCGGTTACCGATGCAGGAGGTTGCCACTCCTATTCATACGAACAGCATGCACATGCTTCTGCAAATCGGCTGTTCTTGCAGTCACTGGATTCTCTTCAGAAATGGGTAACTAATTATGCATTTGGCTAGATTCTGCTAGAAGCAGGGCTGCGAGCATGCGCAGGGAGCGGAGTATGTCCCTGCGGACTGGTGGAACTGATGCTCTACGACGATTTGTAACACCTGCACTGGCTAAGGCCGTGGTCAAGATTTACCTGACGCGACCGCTTCTACCAGAATGACGAGAATCTTCATGCTGACGCACTGACAATCAGTGATATATTCTGACATATTTACCTGCATGTACGTACATTCTTGGGCAGAGTTTACGTCTCTCATTACAACAGATTGCAGCAAGCAGTTGCCACAGTGGAGCCAATGGGCATGGCGGAGCACAAACAGACTTAACAACAAATTGATGACCCTGGCAGTTGGCGTGGCTCCACACTACATTGTGGCTCCGATCTAGCCCACCAAACCCACGACTGATCGCTGCTGAGCCGCACTCCAGAGGATGCCTGAAGCATGGAATGCTTGCAACTTATACTACAAGCTGCGAGAACCTATTGCACTGTACTAAAATACATTGCAATTCACGAAAATGTGCTGCATATCACTAAAGTGTATTGTACATGTACTATAACCAATACTACTACTGAGATACTGAAACACTCTCTTGCGCTTGGCTTTGCCTTGCGCGCTACAGAAAATTAAAACAGCCTGCTGCACCCGCATGGACGACACCAAGCATGCGGTAAATTACAGTACTCAGTGAGCTTATGCCGACGACATCGGGACCAGGGTTCAACAGCTGCAGACTCTGTGCTGTCGGTTACCTCGTCTCCCCTCCCAACCCGACTGCCAACCAGCAAGTGCTCCGGAAGACAGAAGCTTCCAACACAATCCTCTTTCTCCAAGATCGCAACCCCAAGCCCCAAGAGTAACCCTCCGACAAACCCAATTCTAGGCGCTGAGCCCTCGCCCCGTGAGCCATGGAGCAAAACCCTGAACTCCTAACTACCCCGAAGCCCTATAGAAAACCCTTGTATATCAAGAATCCCTACAATACCCTTCCAAGTAGCCTCGTAGTACCCTCTCAGAATTACCCCTCAAGGGCCTCATGGAATAGCCTTGAGCTAACCACTTGAAAGGAACCCTCATAGCAACCAACCCTTGTAGTGCCCTTTAAAGGCTACATTCCCTGGCCTTCTTCCAGTTTCGGCTCCAGTTTGGGCCTGAGCGCCGCAAAGCGATAGATGCCCGAGGGGGGCCAGTCCTGGGCAGCTGACGTACTTGGAGGATCATGGGACTTAGTAAGTATATGGTTATAAGTCCCTAGTTGGGGTTATAAGTATAGTTACTTTAGTTATAACCCTACTTACTAAGTCCCATGATCCTCCAAGTAGGGGGCTCATATGGCTCATGGGGTTTAGGATTTAGGGTTTGTAGTACCTAATTAGAGAGTGCCAGGTCTAGGAGTTTTGGGTTTAGGGCTATTGTCGGGCTTAAGGTGTAAAGGGCGGGGGCTTTGAGGTTTTAAGGCGGGTTTGCGGCAGGTCTAAACTCATCTGACAGGACTGCTCTTGCCGCTACGTGAGGCCTTAAACCTTCAGTGATTGCCAGTCCCAAAGGGTCCAAGTACTAGTATATATAGTATATAGTTTGGGGGCCCAAATACCTACTAAGTACCTACTATAATGGTACTTGGACCCTTTGGGAGTTGCACCATCCAGGCAAGTGCGGCGGCAAGCTGTGGAATGCCATCATTCGAGCGCCATGCCGGGCGGTAATTGGATGCAGGCACAGGATCGAAGTGCCCAGTGCCCAGTGTACCGAAACCCTGTAACCTAAAAAGCCCAGCAGACTCCTTAAGGAGGAGTTCCGAGCTGAGTGCTTGGCTGAACGAAAATACCGACGAGTCCTTTTCATGCTCCGGCGCTTTGCATTGGCATAAGTACATGCATACCCCGCATGAACACCTCGCATACTAGTACAAAAAAATCTTGCTCATCACTGCCAACCTTACAGAGCCTAAACCTAAACGAAGGTTTGATCAGGAATCCTGTTCAACATGTGAAACGCCAGACTTGTAAAACTGCTGAACGCAAATCTTACATGGATGAGGCCATAAAGACACCGGTAACGCCCTGCTAGACCCCAACTCTTGAGGCCCACTCCCCCAAGTTATGTGTCTACCCAGGGGTTCATATTTAGAATCCTATAAGGTATATAATCCCAAAAAGGAACTACTATGGGGCCTATGGGTAAAGCCAAGCAACCTGTGCTTTGGCCAGTTTCCACAGTAAGAGGTCAGGTGCCTCGCGTGCGTTCTGCAGCTCTTTGACGCTGTCGATCTGCACCAGACTTTCACCCAAGGATGTCTCTTGGCTTCAGGTGCATGGCTCTGGTAGTTTAGATGCTGTTGTGATGCGCCACGTGTACATGCACAAACTCTTCAGATGATTTCATCCATCAACATGAATCTGCGTTTGAAAATGCATGCACGCCTGCTTGTAAAGACCCTCTTATAGGATGCTTTTGGGCTGTCTTGACCCTCAGGGTAGTTACCAACTCCGGAAATCAGGAGAATAGGGCTCAGCAGGGATTCGATTGCAAGTTGGGTGACTGCAGACACAACACCACGGTCAAGAACCCGAAAGCAATCCAAGTTGAAGTGCCCATGGGTCTGCCGAGCGCCTGCAAGAGGGCTGGCAGGACATCCTGCCACTCCATCCCTTTGGGCAACACACGCAGGAGCGGAACACCTGGGTGTCGATCAGAAGCACATGGCTTTTGGGTTTTGAGGGTGTGCAGACTGTGCACGCTGGTTTTGTGGTGACTTGAAACAGAACTACTATGTCCGGGGGCTCTAGACTCTTTGTTCTTCACATCTGATCTATTCAGAAATCTATGAATGAGGCGCTCTTTTCAGGGGAAGTAAGTAGGACAGCCCACACATCAAGCTGGGCTGCTGTTTGTTGTTTGAAGAGTAATGGAGCTTTACAGTTCTTACGAGGTCGTTGTCTCCTGCGTAGCTTAAGATTCTGCCTTAGGGTTTCGGATTAGAGTTGTACTTGTCAATGATGGTATGCTTTTTGTAAGCTTAAAGTTAAACATCAAGTTTACTTGCTCTGTCAACTGAACCAGGTTCTTGAAGCCAAGGGAAGCACTATGCAGTACAAACGTGCGAAAACACCGAACAGCAGTACCGGTTATCACAACAGTCAGTCTGCATGTGCACCTCCATGATGCTATAACAAAAAACTTGGTTAATATAGGGGCCTTAATAATGTTAATAGGGTTTGCCATGGGGTATGCTATACTGTGAACATACTGTGAACCCCCAAAACCATATTCAAATTATTGAGGCCCCTACATTAAGTCATCAGGCCTTCAGGGCCCATGATCCCCAAAGTATCGCTGTTGAAAGATTGGTTTCGGACAGGTGGCGGAGCCGCGCCACAGCCAGCATCCGCGCAGATTCGCCACGTATCTTACAGGAAGGGCTGCCAAAGCTGCCAAAAGGCTTGTGCATGGTTAGTTCGGGTTCCACGAGCCAAGATATAGCGAGAGTCAGAGAGAGAGCGAAAGGGAGAGAGAGAGAGAGAGACTGACAGAGAGAGAGCGAGAGCGAGACACACAAAAGACAAAGTGAGAGAATTGTGCCCATGCAAACATGTCTTCAGGTAGGCTGCCTGCTCGTGTGTGTTTAGGCGTTCATTTGCGCATAAGCGGATTTCTGCTGCGAAGTGAGTACCATTAGTCCACACTTTGCTCTTCATGACAGGCAACATGCAAAACGATGAAGTTGCGGGAGAGGTCAATTGATGATGGGCAGACAGTGATGATGTGCAGACGAACTCAGGTGAGATCATGACAGCAGCCGCGAGGATAGATGAGATGATGACAGTGCCAATGATTTCAATATTGCTGGTTTTGATGATGACTGATGATAGAGATGACTTCGTTGCTTGGTACTTATGAAAAGAAGAGAAATTGCAAAAGAGGTAAGGAGGGCGATGATGGTGAACGGTGTTGAAGACGTGATGACGAGGATGATGAAGATGAAAATGATGAAGATTATAACGAGGAGGGCGATGATAATGATGACGATGATGATTGATAATATGGAGTATGAAAGCTGCTCGTAATGATGTCAATGCCGGCCATGAACATGACAAGAAGTAGCAGTTGTAGCACAATCAAACAGCCGCAACAGGGACAGCAAAAGCCACTCAGGGATGCCAACATCGCTCTTCTAAGACTTGCCGGTCTCGAGCAAAAACTCAAGGTCGGGCCGTCAAAGCTGGAGAGTCACAGGCTCTGAAACAGGGTTTAGGGTTGCTCGCCGGCCTTCTCCTGGAGAACGTCCAAGAAGCGACGGCCATCCTGCCCGTAGGTTGGGAACCACGAGCATGACCGCGGCATCCGGTCAAAGGGTAACACTCCCTTCGACACGATTGCACATGCAGGTTTTGGAAAGCACGCTTTCATGAACCCTAAACCCTAAACCCTAAACCCTAAACCCTAAACCGCAGGATGACTTACCAAGCTGTTGCAACCGAAAGCTCGGATGACTGAGCAAGTGGGTAGGGTGCGTTCAAAGGCGGGGCTTCACTTGGAAGGAAGGAGAAGCCGGCTTTAGGGTTTAGGGTTTAGGGGTTTAGGGGTTTAGGGGTTTAGGGGTTTAGGGGTTTAGGGATTTAGGGGTTTAGGGTTTAGGGGTTTAGGGTTTAGGGTTAGCAGGAAGAGCGGCTTCAATCTCGCAGACGACCTCAAGCACCACACTCTGCAGGGGGAGAGGCTACCAGATGGCACCCCATACCTGGCCCTGTGGACCAACCAACATAACATAACATAAGGCCTGTGCAACCATAACACCTGCACAGCCGAAACGATTGAGGGTTTATTGGTTGGGGAGTTGGAACTTGACAGCTCCCAGATGGGGGAGGGCTTCCAAGAAAACGTTGCGGAGGACTTTTATGCACCTGGTGCTCCAGAATGCAACTCCAGCAAAGGCTTCCACAGAGGAAAATGGAAACATACGGTGGCAAAAGCGAGCGCGATGGGCCTCAATGCTGGATTTTCTGAGCATGCTGTTTGTTGGCAGGCCTAATTGACTCGGCCTGAATCAGATCTGGCTAGTTGTGCACTGTACCGCCTCTTCGCTGCGGGCCACCGAATCTGTATGATATATATATATATACACGGAGATCAAGCTCCTGCCATAGGCTTTTGTCAAGATCTGGAACTTGTAGGCAGGCGAGGGCTCTGAGTTTTCACAAAGCATGCGCAGCCGATCAATTCAAGCTTGGCCTCACAAGCGCGAGAAAGGAGCCGGAAAAGGCCGTGTCTCCGTTCCTGCAATACCGGTGCCCTCTATGTCCCGACTCTGCGTGCGAGAAGTTGCCTGCATGAAGTGCGCAGCCATGGTGTCTGTCCATGCTCCGGCACCAAGCCCTCCACTTCCCCAGCCGATGTGTCCACCGCGCTTCGTGACGGCGACATAGAGCTTCGGATTCCTGCGGAGGTCCTGGAAAGGCATGGTAGAGTAGCTTATGACCGGATCATCCTCTGCATGCACCAGCAGAGTCGGGATGGAGATCTTGCTGAGATGAGGACGAGGGCTGATCGCTTCATGGTACTCAGATGCAGTAGCGTAGCCATGTAGCGGGCAGATGGCAGCCTGGTCGATATCTGCAATTCCTCGAGCACTCAGCACTTTGTTCATGTCGACGAGGTGGCGAAACTTTGATCTCCTCAACTTACCAAGACATCTAACGACGTACATAGATATAGACGAACTACATGTAGATAGATAGGTAGATAGATCGATAGATAGGTAGATAGATAGATAGATAGATAGATAGATAGATAGATAGGTAGACAGATTGATAGATAGATACATACAGACCTACATACTGTTACATAGATGTAGAGTTGAGGCTTAAGGTTCTCCTCAACTCTCCCAGCATGAGTAGCTTGACTCCGGTGGTCATGATGAAGTTCGTGAGTCTCTTGCGGATACCTTGCGAGGCACGTGGGCGCCAGGGGAGCAGACGTCACCCTCCCCGAAAACAAAAAACCTCGGGAGGTGGGGCTTATGTATCTAGGAGGGTTTAGTCTGGTGCGTGGGGCGTTGGGGTTTAGGGTGTAAGTTTAAGCCTGGAGGGTCAGCATCCTTGCAGGTTTGGGCACTGGAGTTGAAGGCGCTGATGACCGCGGGCACATCGACGGGGGAGGCAACGGTGACTGCAGAAGAGAAGAGCCTGGCCGAACCATAAAACAGCGAAGGCGCTCCAACAGCAAGGCAGGCTTAGGGTTTAGCGTTTAGGCTTTAGGGTTTAGGGTTTAGGGTTTAGGCAGGCAACTTACAAGGTACAGACTCCGACGCGCTTGAGACCAAGTAACGTCTTTGCACCCATCTCACCCAGGTGGCGCAGGAGAATGACGCCACCTCTTTGGTCGGGTCTTCGGTGCCATGAGCACATCAGAACAGTTTAACTTCAGATTCTGTGACATCATCAAACGCAGATCCGCCACACTACATACAGCCTGGATTACAGAATATTTCGGTTGAGGATCGTCGATGGTGTGATCAGGGTCCTACATCGTACGAGATGAAGATAGCCAAGAGGAGGTAGACTTACTGTAGGGGCCTTAATAATTAGAATAGGATTTGGGGGTATATTATACTATATATAATAAGGAACACAGTATAGGTAATTATTAAGGCCCCTATATTCTGTGACAACCAGGTCAAGCGGCCCATCGAGAAGGCCACTGCCGAGAACTCGGCTCCGGCACATACCTGCAAATCCTAAAACCCAAAGGGTCCATGTACCGAATTTTTGCATGTAGCCTTCGGGTAGGGTAGTTCCTACGGGGGTACTCTGGGGCCAACGTATATACTATTTGGGCACGTGGACCCTTTGCGAAACGCTTGATCGGCTTCGATAACTTTTTGACCATTCGAGGCTGCCTTGTTCAACGCCCGCTATCCCATGTCACCGTAGCATCCCGAAATTGGACAATGAGCATGGTCGGTTAGGTAGATAGCTGCCTTAGCATCCTTCTGCTTAGCCCCAGCAACTTACTTTTGGTGCTCTGCTTGCCCTCACCCCTCACGGAGTCTCCGCCCGTGCTTCCTGCTACGCAAGAACAAATTGAAGTGGACGGCCGTGGGGAATTCGTCACCCCGTCTGGCTAGTGCGATGATCTCATAGTACTTCATGTTCAGAGCCCTGTTGCTAAACAGTATGCTACAAGTGATATACTTGAATGTACATATCTGTTGGGTACCTGAACATGTGCCCCAAAAGCACCCCGCTTAGGTAGTTGGAGACTGGCAGTTGAGAAGAGGCTTAAACCCTAAACCCTAAACCCTAAACCGATTATATAGCGGCCCTCAGAGTTTCTAACGTGGTCTTTGGGGTCATTCTATAGTATACTATACCTAAAACAAGGAGCCCTGCGCAATAACTATATATTCGCAATAACCCGAAACCCTAAACCCCTAAACCCTAAACCCCTAAACCCTAAACTCCGAAACCCCTAAACCCTAAACCCTAAAACCCTAAAACCCCAAAACCCCAAACCCCAAAACCCCCAAACCGGAAACCCCCAAACCCCTAAACCCTAAACCCCAAAACCCCCAAACCCCTGAACCCTAAACCCTAAAACCTCAAAACCCCCTAAAACCCTATACCCAGAACCAGGCTGGGCCTCGCCTTTTTGAGGTGTTCCTCCACTTCGGGCATGTCGCGCCAGCAATCCGCACAGCCCACCTGCACGCGCGGTTCGGCTTCGGAGAGTTTAAGGTTCGGGGTATGGGAGGGTTAGGGTTTAGGGTTTAGGGTTTAGGGTATAGGGTTTAGGGTTTAGGGTTTAGGGCATAGGGTTTAGGGTATAGGGTGTTCTAGTAGGACCACTTATAACGCGTTTTAGGGAATGAAGGCGTTTGGGGAGCAAAGTCAAGACCGCAGCAGGCAAGTTCGTCGACAGACCAAGTACAACAAAAGCGGCCTTCAGAGCTCTGGGGGTTTATAGGGGGTTTAGGGCTTCCTTCGAGGATTGTAAGCTTTCCTTTAAGGGTTCCGTTTAAAGTTCTGGGGGTATAGTTGCCGACAGAACGACATGGGCGCTTGCAAAAGCTCCACACACGTGCTTCTAAATCCGAAAACAACCTTTTTCAGCACGGAGTGAGGTGCCAGCCAGCGCCTACACCCTAAACACCAAACCCCAAAGCCCTGGAACCCGAGTAAACCCTGAACGCTTCAGGCCTGCATCCTATCCAGAACGCTATGACACCTGCCTCTAAGCCCTAAACGCCTGGTCGAGAGCCTTCCAACCAAAATCCTCACACCCAGACAGCCAACAAGCTCCTGAGTATGTATATATATATATATATTTATTTATTTATTTATAATTAGCCTATTTATGCGTAAGATACATATATATATATATATATGTGTTATCTCTCTCTTTCTCCCAAGCCCCCTAGGCCCTCTACCCCAAGAAAATTGCTGAAAAAACGCAGCCGAAAGCCCACCCGAAAGCCTCTGCCCCAAGAGATTCCCAGAACACTCAAAACCTGAAACCTTAAACCAACAGCCTCTCAAAGAAGCTTGGGATGATGATAGTGCGTTCCTTTTATGGTAAGCCATACACAAGCTCTTCTAAATCCTGTAAGATCCAGAGCAGGAGCCCTTAAACAAAAAACTCCCTCAAACCCGACACCATAAACAACCCTAAACCCTAAACCCCTAAAGCCCTAAACCCTAAGCCCTAAACCCTACTTGTCCCAGATGCGAGTGCTGAAACCCTAATTTGCCTTGGAGGTTTTGAGCTCCTGCCCGGCCAAGCCACGATAATTCAAAGCGACGGCCTCTCGCACGGCAGTCAAGAGAAGTGCTCAAACAACGGTTCCTGTGGGGGTACTAGCAAAAGAAAGACTACTGCAAGGGTTCTGTAGACTCTTTGAGAACTTAGGGGTGTAGAGTTCATTGTTTTTTTGAGGCTTGAGCCGTCAAGGTTCCGGGTTCAGCGGTTCAAGGGTCTGCGAGGGTTTCGACTCTCCCAACTTGGCGACCAGGCAAGGCGCCTGAAACAGAGATGACTTCTTACTTGATGTGCATCAGTGCCAGCTCGAACATTTTCGCAAGAGCCATTGATTCTGCTAATATGACACCAGTCTAACACCTGGGATGAAAGGGTTGGGGTTGCCTTAGCATTCACTATCCTGAATCCTTGGCAAGCCTGCAAGAACGTGCTCAACTACGCGGACCTCCAATGCTGAAACCCCTAAAGGCCGAAAGCTGCAAGGCCTACGTGAATTCAGGGTGCAACTATGTCTTCAGAGACTCCCAAGCTCACCACCATCGCCATCCCAAGTGTCTGCAGGGCCTGAAAGCCTTCGTGGCGGAAGTGCCTGGAAACGGTCAGGAGTGAAGCTTGCTTAGGTCTTCCCTAGACCTGACAACTACTCGGTATCACGTACGGTATACACCAAACACGGCGTGCGGCCTATCTAAATAACTAACTAACTATCTCCTATCTCCATTTCTTATACAGAATACCTACAAGTCATATTATATATGTGTATATCTATATATATA